GTTTTTTCTAGAAAAGATAGATTCAACTATGCAAATCTTAAGTAACAGAAACTTAACTGGTCTCTTACAAATTAGCCAACAGGATAAGCCGCGGCCAGGCCCACCGCCGATCTCAAATTAACGAAAACTTAACTAGTGTTTTTGGCTGAGCGATTAGCGAAGCCTGTTACTCCGTCTGGTCGGAAAAAACTTTTTCTGTCTGTCTGTGTGTCTGTGTATCTGTCCGCACGAAAACTCGAAAACAAATTGAGCGAGCGACCTGGGATTTTCAGGGTCGTTTTGTGTCATAACAAGCAGGCCCGCCCTTCCGCCAAACGAAGTTGCCAGCTCCGCTTTGCTCCGCCGGCAACTCCGTTCGGCAGGGGCCGGCCTGCTTGGCCTGCCGGCGGCGATGGTCGGGCCTGCGGCTCGACCATTTCTGTCGCGCGTTTTGATGAAGAACATGATCGACTGATGTAGCGGGCCTTCGGCCCGCTTAAACCCGTCATCTTTGAGTTTGCCCCAAAGACTCGAGAAAGGGATGTAACGGTGAAGCACCGCGACTACAACCCACCCTTCTGCTTAGAAAACGTTTTTTGGGGGTGGTGGGAGAGTTTCCTTTCTATTTTGCGGATTTAGGCCTTTTGCTACAACATATTGTTCACTATGGCAATTTTTAGCTTATTTTCGTCGAAAAGGACCCTCTAGCGCCCAAACGGTGAGAGATAGAGCAAAACGGACGAAATTTTCGCCCGAAGGGTTCTACTTTTACAAGTTACCCCTTAGAAGATCATAAAAAAATATATATTTTCCAACTTTTTTGGCCTTTCCTGTTTTCTTCGATACCCCCTTTCAACCCCTTAGGGGTGGCTGGCAGGATTTGCCGTAGGCGGTTTGTTTTGAGGGAGTGAACCTTAAGATCCCCTGAAAATTTGAAGTCTCTAGCACATCTCCTTCTTGTGGAACAGACAGACAGACAGACAGACAGACAGACACGAGGTCGTTTGCATAAGCCCGCTGGATAGCTTTTTCAAAGCAGAAGGGCGGGCTAAAAAGACAGATCGAGTCCGAAGATGAGCATTTTAGCTCAAAAATTGGATTTAAAAAAAATCAAAGACAACAGGTCCCAAAAATGACTGTTTTTAAAAATATTTTTTTTCTGGTTTCCCATGGGGTAACTCATCAAAGTAGAGTTCTCTGGGTGAAAATTTTGTCCGATTTGCTCTAGCTTAAATCGTTGAGGCGCTAAAGGGTGTTTTCGACGAAAATAAGCGAAAAAAGTTCCGTCCAGGAACGGATCGTGAAAGCAGATGATACGAATTCAAGAATTATTCCAGTCTATAATATTTCAGTGGAAGATCACGTTAGGCATTACTTGTATAGTATATAGATAATTTACAAA